CAGTATAAAATATTTTGTGTAAGATAATCACCTGAGTTAGAATAATTTAGGCATCTGGTTTACCAGCTTGCTAGCAATGCTTGACAGTTCCTTTGATCTAAATCCCTAAGCCATATTCCAGTCTGGCTTTTTTTTTTTTTTTTTTTTGGTAAATACTTAAAATTAGTTTTATCTCTTACATGTTCTTACTTCTTTTTAAAGTTTAATTTTGATGACAAGATAAAAACTGAGTTGTCAGTTTAGAGAAATAGTACTACTTGAATATTTTTTCCTATATTTAGTCTGGATTTTAAGTTGGGAAGAATTTCTCATTAGTCTTCTGACTTTTTAATCTAGGGACAGGCAGGATCAGTGCCAGAAGTTGTACTGTTTCTTGGATAATTTGGAACAAATCAATAACAAGTCAAGATAATTTATTTTCTGATTAAAATAAAAAATTACAGTCTTGATTCTGTCTTTAGTGGTAAGAGGGGGTTGAAGAAGAGGGTTGCAAGATTTATTTGTATTCATTCTGAAAAGGATTTTAGATAGAATAAGTGGGAATTTTTCTTCACTTTTTTGTGTTTATGTATACTATGTAGGTGTATGTTCTTGATAAACACAATAATATAAATAGATTCATCTTTTTTTTGGCAAAGAAACTGCTGTATAAAAAACATTAAATGTGAAAGGGCTTCAAGAATGTCTTCCTGAAACTATGTAATAGTTTTTTGCCCCTCCCACTCACCCCATTGGCTGTTTAAAGGGTTTCCTAGTAATGTTTTGTTGTTCTGTTTTATTTCAACATTGTATAGCAGTGTTGTTCTCATTTTGATGAAAGACTAAAAACTCAAAAAATTTTTTTAAACCAACAATTGCTTTTGATACATATTTTTGATAAAGTAATCTGTGCTTTCTCTTAAGTTTATTATGTCATTAAAATAAAATTTAATTCCTTTAAGGAAATCATATAGGCGGAAATAATCAAAATAAAAATTAGATTTTTTATTATATTAAGACTATTTGAGGGGATGTAATTCAATTCAAGTGTAGGCTTAACTAGTTTTTTGTCTTACTTAAATGACTAATGTGATTTGTTATAAGCGATAAAGAAAATATGATACTGTATGCTTTGGTATTTGTTACTTTTTAATCGAGGGATTGAATTGTGGCATTCTTTTCAGTGCATGACATTGCTTTCCCATGATGCAAGGCAGTTAATTTTGCAGTGATTCTTGAGTTGGAGTGTGGAGAAAAAGAAGATAAAAGGCTCTCAGTGTTTTCCTGTTTTTACTGACTGGTCATACTGCTAGTCCACTGGCCATCCCCACTTTGGGGTTAGTTAGCCTGTCAGCGTTCATGTGCTAGGTGTCCAGTGCATAACCAAGGGATTTTTGTAGAATGCCTTTTTGGTAAAGTCGTCTGTTTCTAAAATATTTTGCCCAAACAGGTGGTGGTGGTTGTTTTTAAGTGTGATGGTCATTATTTTCATTGGAGGGTGGCAAAAGGTGGGAAATTATCAAGGGAGTTAATAGAATGGTAGTGAATTGAGGGTAGGAAAATCTTACGTGTGCAACATTTTTTTAATGAGTATCTTGATGGATAGAAGAAGATGTAATAGAAATGTCAGACTGTTATGTATTTGACAAACTGTGGCTGCAGAAACAATCATTTTGTTATTTTTGGCACGAACAGTTTTTCTTTCATGGAGGCTATTAATGCTATTTTGGAATTTCATGGGCATCTGAAGACAATAGTTAGCAGTTCCATAAAGCATTGAATACTGTGATAACATCTAGTAACCCTAGCAGCAGTATTTCAGAATCTCTGCCTGTTTCAATGGGCTATCTGTGAATGTACTTGCTCAGGGATGCATGAGCCACATCACCTATAAATTTGATTGGAAGCTACAGCGCTGGCATAGGCTGATGGATAGCAGATTAGAGCCCTGATTAACCATGTGATTCGAAGACTGGGAATATATTGTCTAAGCAAGATTCATCAGACGCAATCAGAATTCCAAGTGGTCAGATGCGATTCAAATGTGTATTGTGGTTTTTTTCTCCCCTAGTGCTTTTCCTCCTGGGTTGCCTTTTTTTTCCCCTCTCTTTCCCCAAAGCTGAAAAATACTTCTTTGATGAATCTGCTCCTTACCCTAAAGCTGTCTGTCTGTTATTCATCAGAAAGCAGGTCGCAGTTCAGTGAGCAGAAGAAAAGATTTTAATAGAAGCTGTGCCAAGGGCTGTAATGCATCATTTTAGGGCCCTAATTACATTACAATGACAAATATCAATGGTGACAACAGCAATAACCTACATCCTTTAATGGCTGTGCTGGAAAAGGAGTTTGGGCCCCACGCCATTAGATTAGACTCAGTTTCAAAACATAGGCCATTAGAAGTGTGTGTCCACAGTATTATTGGCTGATCACTGAAGCCCGGTGGAAAGGCCTGTAAATAAATGATGCCTCCCTAAAGCTGGGTCCTATGGGACAAAAGAGGCAAAATTGGATGACCATGGAAGCAGCAGTGTTTCCGAGGCAACTTTAGCTTTCAAAGTGAGGAATGACCTGCTTAATTTTATGAAATCACACGCACACATCCCACCCCCTCTGCTGCCAATTAGCCTGACCGTGAAAATCCATTGGCATGACAACTTAAAGAAATTAAGAAGTCTTTTAAACAAAAGGAGATCTTTAAAGAATAAGTTTAGAAGGTTTCCAACCCCCCCCGCCCTTTTCTGTTATGGATGTGTGTTAACATGCATGAATCAATAAAATGACTTTTTGACTTTTCTACATTTATTTTTAAGAAAATACAGATTTTTTTTTTCATCGTTGCTCAGACTTAACAAAGCCGAGGTCCCAAATTAAAAGAGCCAAATAAATATCTCTTGGTCTTTATTTTGCCAGATGAGTGAGTTTCCTTAGAGTAGTTTTTATTGCCTAGATTATGTAGGCAAACTAAAGAACTCAGTTTTCTTATGTGCCCACACATTTTTCAGCCCTCCTAGCAAGGGACTATTTTATTTATGTAAACAACATAATGAGGAAAATATGCTTGGCAGATGGTTCTAAGCATTAGAATCATCAGTTTGGTCTGCCCCAAAGTGTCTCATTATCTTTTATTCTCTTTCCCCTCCACCTCTCCCTACAAAAAGCTTAACAACCAAATGCCTCTGAGACTAGTGCTTTCAGTCTGGTGAATGCTACTCTATTTTCTCAGCTCGCACTGGAATTTCACCCTATAACCACTGCGGTATGTTCGTCCAGGTGGAGAGTGGTTTGGTGATTCCCACTGCAGCTTTTCATGGTGGTTTAAGCATTCTTAAAGGATAGCTAAATGCTCCACGGGGCCAGGGCAGTAAATTAAATCAGGTCAGCACAGTTGGGTCCTTATTCACTGCTGCTTATTGGTACTGGGGTTTTGTCCATCCTGTTAGGAATGCAGACTGGAATGGAAAACTTCATGGTGAATTTGAGTTTTTTCTTGGCTGGCGAAGTTTTTAAGGTGCTGGCATGTAAAAGATTGCATAGCTATAAAGTCAAGAGGGTTGCTGATGAAAGAAGGAAACCTAGATTGCACAAGTAGAGTGTCGCTGTCATTCTGGTAATGACTTAGCAAGGAAAGGAGCATTTTTGTCTTAAAAATGAGGAACTGACCCTGGATGGAATTTATGTTAAGAATGTCTCTGGAATAGTAATTGCTTTACGTTTGCTGCCTCTCATCACTTCTCGCCTCTCCTTTTCCCCACTCCATCATTAAGAAATAAGCTATTTTGATGGATGTCAGCTAAACTTACTGGGGTAATCATTTCACAATATATGTACGTCAGATAACCTTATATCATGCTCTATGCCAGTTATATCTCCTTATAATGTTTGTTTTATGAGGGGGAGGTAATTAGGTTTCTTCATTGATTTCCGCTTGGAGGAGGTACTGGGGATTGAACCCAGGACCTCTTGGGTGCCGAGCATGCGCTCTACCACTTGAGCTATATATATATATACCCTTCTGCCTATGCCAATTATATCTCAATAAAACTGGGGGGAAAAGTTATTTTCTATGTATGTGTATAGAAATCCTGTGTTTACATGTCACATACCAAAGTATATAAGGAGCCATCTGATAATACAAATTAAAGTGAAGATCGGTGAAGCCCTGGGTAGCTTTTTAAAGAAAATGTAGTGGTGGCATCTTTCTTTTTTTCTTTCTCTCTCTCTTTTCTCTTACTGTAGCATCCTATTTGTATAAAATTTGTTTACTTACAAACTTAATAGAGAATAAACTGACAGTATTGGGACTTCTGCAGATCTGTCGTACAGTGGTGTAGTTAATGTTCCTAAAGTTAGTCTCCATATATATACAATTGCTTTCTGCTAAAGGAGGATGTTAGCATGTTCTAAACCTCTGCACACTGAAAACCCTGGTGGGACATTTGGAAATTTTTATGGTTGAGGAAAACTTGCCATTCCCCAATAATTTATAACTAAGACTCTGAATTAATCTGGTCATTCGGATAGGTTGGGTGCTATTCCTTTGGGAGGTTGGGAACTTGATTGTGAATTCCATCGCCTGTATTTAAAGCAAAGGCCACAAATGTAGAACTCCAATGAGTTATTTAATTGAGGGAAGTGGGGATGTAGGGAAGAATGTATCTTTACCATCTAAACTCTAAAAACACAAGGTTTCATGAAAAACCACATTAGAATGAACAAGGGTTCTGTGGAAGGCTTTTGAAAACTGATTTCTAGTCATGAAAATTAAATTTCTTTTTATGTTGTCCTGGTGCTTGAAGGTTGACTTTTTTAAGATGAATGCTGGTTAATAAATTGTGCTATTAATGTGGCACTGTTGTCACTGCCTCCTTTTAATGGGCTTGCTGACGAGAGTTTTCCTCTTTCTTAGGAAATATGCCAGCCAGAATATAAAGTGTGTTTTAATATCATCCTGTTAATTTGGGAATTTGTAACCAGCTGACTGCTCTTTTTATTGCTTACTTTTCCTTTTTTTCCCCCCACAGGCAGAGATTGTCAAGAGGCTGAATGCTATCTGTGCACAAGTCATTCCTTTCCTGTCCCAAGAGGTAAGGCAGTTGGTTTCAAGCATTGGGCTAGAAGGTACCATTCCACTGGTTTTGCAGACAAAACTGACTCTTGGCCTTGTCAGTCTCTTGGTGTTCGTTTTGCACATTTCTGAGATACAGTGGTCACATTCCAACTTCTACACCTTATTAACATTCAGTGAACTATAATTGTGTTTATGTAATGGAGTATTTTCTAGTGTGCTAAGCGAAATGCAGTTGTTAAAATATTTTACTGTCATTGGACGATGTAATGTTGCTCAGAATCATGAGTTTGTCATAATGGCATCTAATAAGGGAGATTGAAAAATTGCCTCGAAGACAAGAGCTTGTTCTACACTTTTGTCACCAGGCATTAAGAGTTAGCAGAAGATACATCAAATAGAAAGGCTTTACATAGTAAACAAAATAATGCAACTTTGGGATAGCAGCTTTTTAAAATTCACTTCTTATGAAGTCTTTATCTCGTGGGTACATTTGAGAGAAGACACATAGAATGGACTCGGGTGGACTCATTGCTCTGAGAACCATGGCCTTCCCACATTGCCAAGGCCCGGCGTGCAGCTCACTGGCTTTTTCTGGCTCCCACTAGTGGAAGTGTGCACACCAGTGGAGGTGTGCACACTGCTGCAGGTGCACGCCCAGTGGGATAGGGAGGTGCATTTCTAGTGTATGGTGGCTTCTGGTGGCTTTTTTTACCCCCCTCTGCTTTCTTGCTTGCTTTTTGGTAGTTACGAAGTTTAGGTGCACCAGCTGGAGAGAGAATTTTTGCTTCTGAATTACTGAATCCTTCATTTGCTTAGGTAAGATCAGCTGTGAGAAGGAAGACACTAATAAATGGAGTAGCTACACGTCTTGCAGCCGCAGTGCTTTGTGTGGTGGGCTGGGAGGCACCGGGACACTTTCCTCCTACCCTTCAGTTGTGTTGCTGCTTTTCAGGAGAGCAGTGCCCCGCCTGCCTCCCTGTGGGCGTGTGCTGAGGTTAGCATGCCTCCGATATTTGAGCGTGCGTGTGTGATCGATCCATGTGGATCCCTATCTGACTTCTTATTTGATTTGAATGGGGTTAAACCTCAGGAACCATGGGTACCTTTCATCAGGAATATATCCTTTGGGGGTGCTCATATTCACAAACATGGGCCTGAGTTAATATCCTGAGTTCACATGCCCTCCTGGATCACCAGCAACAAAGGATGTATTGTCTTTCTCCTCCTTTAGTTGTGACTATGCCACCACCACCCACTATATCCCCATTTACTTGTTTCTACTGAGAATTTGCTTGTTGACTAGATTGTGTGGAGTAGTGAAGGAGAGTTGGGGAGCCGATTTGCATTTCTTTAGGAAGCCTGGCTACCCTTTGCCTGATCCATACCTGGGTGTATTTCTTCTGACTTCAAGCAGCTCTGCTTTGTGGAGGTGGCGAATGGGAAGAATGTGTAACCCACAGAGCTGTGACCAGGCTGAGGCGTCCTACGCCAAGGGAGAGGGGAAAGTTTGCATTTTCCCTGGGTTGGTGTTGGTCTTGAAGCTTCTGCAGGTGCAGACCTCTACGTATAATCACCGGTACAGCTTACTCCTCTGGCATTCTTGCAGATTCTGGGGGGTTATGTTCAGACATGGGAGAGGTCTTGAGGGTGTTGGTGGAGCTAGCTGATTTGTCAACAGGTCGTTTTCCCACGTGAGTTATGTTGCTTGTGTGAGCAGGCCCAGTAGGAACAGAACGTGTAATGCTGGTGATGCTGGGCAAGACTGGACTGGAGTTAATTGGCTAAGGAAGTTGTACCCTATAGAGGAAAGCTGTGGGGAGATTCTGGCAGCTCCTTTTCTGCTCTAGGCTGGGAGGATAGTCATTATGATCTCACTACTTATTATTTATTTCCCCAATGTTTTTGACATTTCTTGGTTGAAATCCTTGATGTGTGTAATGAATGACCTATGTGATAGTTTTCTAAATCCTGATCCTGCGTATCTCTTTTCTTCTGCATGCTTTAGGTTTAATTGGCTCTTCTTTTTTCAGTTGCTTAGGTGTGTGTATATCTTTTAACGTGTGGGCCATGGACATGTTCATTCCCAACCAGTCTGGGCCTCTCTGATGTTTTGTGTCTGAACATTGCTCACCTTGTTTCCTCTTCTGGGCATTCTGTGAGCATCACACTCCTCGCCCCTACCCTGAGGCCAGATGGACTGTAATCTGGAGGGAGGGGAGGAGGCAGGTTATTAGAGGAAGATGAATTCTATTTCCTGTCTCTTCAGAGGCATGGAAAATCACTCTTGCATGGCTGCGAGCGTCACTTGGTGCCAGGACTGAAGGCTCTTATAATCTGATCTTTTAACACCGGCTCTCTGCATGACAGTCTCACTGCCAAAACGGCAGCTGTGGCGTTAGAATTTATTTTAAAATATTTTTATTTAAAGATTAAATGATCGTATTTAGAAAAAAGAAAAATGTTTCCTGAAGACCACTGCATTAGGTGCAGGTTGGAGGGTTTTTCTTGGAGTTTGGCAAGAACAAGAGGTAAATTTACATGTATCTAGATAAGTCTATTTTTAATTTAGCTCCCATGTGCTTATTAATGTACATACTTAATATGGCTTGTGTCTAGTGTACCACGTTTTCCCAAATTAAAAAAATTTATAGTCTTGAGTGACAGCTGTTGAATAGATTTAGTTTTAACTGCAAGACCTTTTTTGGGGGAAATAAGTTGTAGAATTGTAGCCCCTGTGCTTGAAGTGTGTCTGTGTATGTAACAATCAGAGAAAAGTATTTTCCCATTGGAGTTCACTAAAACACTTACAGCATTATAGCCAGCATCTCTTGCAGGGATGTGCCTGTTGTACTCACGTACAGCTGCTTCCAGAGGCCCAGGCCCCAAACATAGGTGTTGCCGTCTCTTGTCATGAAGTGAGTAACCATCACTTAGAGTTGTTAAAATTTCATAGGATCCTTACAATCAGGATTTACAGAAACCTTATGAGTGAGTCCTTTCCCGTCTGAAGCTGTTCTTTTCTCCCACTTACTTTTGGGTTTAAGAATGGGTAAGACTGATCTGTATTTTGCTGTCCTCAGATTTCTTCTTTAAAAGGCAAATCTCAAAGTAGTAGTAAATGGGATGTTCTTCTCTGTCTCTGTCTCACTTTGGTCTCATTTGCTGAGCAGGAACTGTCATCAACTTCCCGTTGGTAGTTCCATGAGCAAGAGGTGCCCGGATGATGACAGTCACATCTGGGTCGAGTCCTGGCCTCCCTGTTACAAATTGCATGGCTTCCTATAACCTAGTTAAGCTGGGTGACCTTTAGCAAGTGATTTGCCTCTTTAAAACCTCAGTTTCCTCATCTGTGGGATGACGTTAATGACAGCATGAATGTGTATGATTGCTGGGAGATCGATGACTGGGGATTGTACACGAGCAGTGCAGCCCATAGTAAGCACCTCCAGATGTTGACGAGCAGTAGCTGCAGCAGCACGGAAGCTCTGGGCTCGCTTTTGAGAGGACCTGGAGCCAGCCCTCCCTCCCCTTCTTAGTCACTGCCTTTCGGAAGAATGTGAATTGCTTGTCTTCCTCTCTAATGTCCTTACAGAGGAAGAAAATTATAAATTAAAACAACCCAGGACTGTGAACTAGCTAAAAATCTCAATGAGGCATATTAGGTTGCCCCAAGGGTGATTCTCTTCTAGCTCCAAAATTAATTTTCCAATTTAGGAAACACCTGTCTCTCCCCAACCAGCAAGCAAAGATCCAGAAGGTGACAACTCTTCAAGGTGTTCAGCCTGTAGAGCTTACCTCAGAAAATGTGATGATTTTTGGATGGGGTCTGTCTTTTACCCTCAGAGCTATGTAGAGAAACAAATTTCTCAATCCACGTGGGGACTGGCTGTTTTCAAAGTACCTGGTGGTTTAGCTGGAGTTAGTTTTGCTTTTACAAGTAGTTTCTGTGGATGGGCTCTTTTTCCATCAGTGATTTCAGGATACAGTTTGTAGACCCTTAGACCGTATGGGCCCTTTACAAAATTAAAAGTTGTCAGTAAGCACTGACTTGTTTCCAGTGCCCTCTCACCCCCTTTCCAGGAACATACCTTTAAGGAGATTTCAATGTAGATTGAAAACTACGTGCCTCTTGTTAAACCCTGGCAGCAAGGCACAGTATTCCTGCTAATTTGGAATCAGACCATCTCTGCCTCTTACTGGCTGTATATTGGGAAAGTTCTCTCTCTGAGCCTTGATAGTCCTATAGATGGTGAGAGTAACCCCATCTTTATAATGTGTACTATATGTATTAAAATTTAAAGCACTTGCGATAGCAAATGCCAGGTTTTTTGGTCATTGTTTTTTGTTTTTTTAAAATAAACTTTCCTGGGAAATGGATTTTATTCCAGCTTATTTTGGGTCCCAAGACATTTGGAGAGGGGGGACTTGGTACAAGCTGGGAAGAGTTGAAGGTAACGTTTCTGAATGGACTGGCTGGTGATCTTCCTGTGATAGGAGCTAGGCTGCAGCTCTTGGGGCTACTTCAAGCAGTGGGTGGTCAGCACTCCACAGGTGTTCTTTCAGAAGGGAGGGAATATTATATTTTTATTGTTTTGGAAAGCCAGTAAGTATTGTCTTATCCTGTTAGATTAAGCATTAAATAAATATTAGGGATCTTACTTAGAGGGCAGTTGTGCTTTTTGGGCTTTTTTCCCCTTGGATTATAAACTAGTTTATTTTTGAGATGGGCAGGATATATGTTTCATGGTGACCAACAAGGTGTTCTTAAGACCTTTGAGTCTTAAATTCAAACCCCTAATAGGCTCTAGCTCAGTGGGTGATAACGAATCACACAATAGTTGGAAGTCTTCTTTCCCCAGAGTACCATTTGTACTTTTCAGAAACTTGTTGCTCCCCTAACAAGGAGCAGAGTTCATTGGAAGAGTTGTGTTATGTGTGAAGCAGGGTGATACGAGCTTGAGGTCAGGCAGACTTGGGACCAAATCTGGGCTTAGCCAACTTGCTTCTTTTATCATG